TCGTTGAGAAACGACCCATTTTTGTTGGCGTTGTTGAGTACGATGGTGTTGTGGAAGGGAGAGTGGGGGGAAGTGGTTGAGAAGAGAGAAGCCGAGACGCAGGGGAAATTGTGTGAACCGTGCACAGATGATCTGGGAAAAGACGCAAAGGCAGGGAACACAAACGAGGTCATGCAGTACAAAGAGACAAAACATGAGCCTTTTGAAGAGAGAGATGGGCAGCCGCCAAAGAGCATCAATGAAATGAGGCTTTCTTGGTGGTGAAGTAAGGGAAGGGCTGAGAAGCCTGGTGGTGCAAACACCGTCTCCCAGGCACCCCGCACGAAGCCCCACCTGACAGGTTTCTCGTCTCCGACTGGTTTGTGTCCGCATTCTCGCCCCGCGCTTCCCATGTATCAGCCATGCACCGGCCCCGTCATATCCAGGCGTCCATCTCCTCATGCATGACCAAAGGAAGCGGCTTATTTGCTGATCTTCTCGGTCAGCTCGGGCACGGCCTTGAAGAGGTCCGCGACGAGGCCGTAGTCCGAGACCTGGAAGATGGGCGCCTCGGGGTCCTTGTTGATGGCCACAATGGTCTTGGAGTCCTTCATGCCAGCAAGGTGCTGCAGGGCAAACGACATTCACGCGATGGCTTTGCACGTCAGCGCACCGCCCGGAAGCCGCCAAGGGGGAGGCTCAAGGCAGCACACGCGTGCTGCGCCAAGGCTCAAGCCGACGCACCTGGATCGCGCCCGAAATGCCGACGGCAATGTACAGCTCCGGCGCAACAATCTTGCCCGTCTGGCCGATCTGGAGGTCGTTGCTGACAAAGCCAGCGTCGACGGCGGCGCGCGAGGCACCGACTGCGAGAAGTGAATGCGAGTCAGCAGCGCACTCTCGCGTTGCTCTCAACCCCCCGACTCCGACACTAGTGGCCGCGGACTCACCGGCGCCGCCGAGCTTGTCCGCCAGGTCGTACAGGATCTTGAAGTTGTCGCCGCTCTTCATGCCGCGGCCGCCGCCAACAACAACCTTGGCGCTGGCGAGCTCAGGGCGGTCGCTCTTGACGACGGCCTCGCTGATCCAGCGGGTCGGGCCTGCACATCATCCATGCGTGCGCGAATGCGCGCGAGTGAATGCGTGAGTGAGAAACCAGATCGCATGCGGGCGGCATCGGATCGCGCACTGCGGGCGGGCGACCAACGCACCAGCGGCCTCGGCGGCGGGGGCGTCCTCGGTGGCAGCGCTGCCGGCGCCGGTGGCCGCGGCGGGGAAGGACGTGGTGCGCACGGTCATGAGCTTGATCGGGTCCTTGGACTTGATCTGGGCAATGGCGTTGCCTGCGCCGCCGCAGGAGGCGCGGGCGATCCGCAGGCGCAGGATCAGGGGGAGCCGAGGGCGTCAGCAGCGGCCGGCGGGCCAGTCACATGGGCCGGCCGCGTCCGCCACGCGCGGTCGGCGGGCGCGGCGAAACGAGCAGCGGGCGACGCCGTGTGCGCGAGGGTGGGGGGGAGGAGTCGGACTCACCGGCATAGATGGTGCGCTTGAAGGTGTCGGCGCTCTCGATCTCAATGACGTCCGAGATGGGCGCCACGTCGAGCGAGGCGGCCGCGCGGGGCAGCACGTTCTTGCCAAAGGCCGTGTGGGCCGCGACAACGTGCGTGAACGAGCCGGCGCGGGCGGCGGCGGCAATCAGCGGGCCGTGGGCCTCGGGCAGGCCGTGCGCATACGCATCGGCCTTGGCCGCAATGACCTTGCTGACGCCGGCAATCGACGCCGCCTGCTGCACCGCAGCGTCGACCGCCGCGCCGTCGCCGGCGACCAGCGCGGTCACGGGGCCGCCCAGCTTGGTCGCGGCCGTCACGGCGTTGAGCGACGCCGTGCCGACCTTGCCGTCCTTGTGCTCGACGACAACAAGCGTGCTGAGCGGCGAGCGGCGCAGCGTCTGCGACGGTGTCGAGCGGGCAGCCTGCGCGACGCAGCAGAGCGCACGTCCCGGCCGCGGCGTCCGTGTGCGTGCCAGAGGAGTGCCGGTGACCGCAGTGCGCGACAGATCATCGTCAGCACGCTCGTCTGGCGGCGGTCGGTGGGGCTGCCCACAGCGCCCGCACAGCCGGCAGGCGCACGCATGCGCGGCCAAGGTCGCATGCGCATGCGCATGCCGTGCAGAGCGAGCGGTGGGCGGCCCCGTGCGCGGCGGCGGGCCGCACCTGGCGGGCGAGTGTGCGGAACATGATTCTCAGAATCGCGCGGTGAGGGCAAGTGCAGCACCTGGCACCGGAACCCGATGGCGCCGCGGTTCCGATGCTGGCCGCCGCGGCGCCGGCTCGCATCCAAATCGGCGTGGCCAGGAACTCCTCTTTCGCAGCATCGGTGCGGGCCAGACCGGCTGCAGGTGTGCAGTCACTTCATTGGGGGGAGTCTCGGGGACGCCTAGATGCGCTGGTGCTCCCGAATGCAACGACCACGAGATGCGCTGCAAGGCCGGCTCGCTCTCAAACCGCGTGCACTCGAGATGCCCCGACGCACCAGCGTGCTCGCATGCGCCAAGTGCTCTCCACATCCGCCGGCAGCTGCGCAGGCGGCACACCGGCAAGGATGCCGAGCCGCCGATTTTCGATGCTTGCCGCTGTCGACACCCACGAAATGACGCACAAGGACCGCGGGTCGGCGTGGTACACGGACGCAGCGAGCTACTGGGAGCGGGTCGAGCGTGCGTGGGCGCACGCACGAGCAGCGGATGCACCGCCGCAGGGTGGCTGACGGCAAGCCGAAGCCACCGTCCAAGGCATGCTCGGCGGCTTCGGCTTCCTGACCGACACGGACGCCCGCGGCTCGCTCGACTTCATTGCTGAGTTCATCGACAACGGGCAGCTTGCGACGGCGACTGCATGCGGTGCGGCGACCCGCCGCGGCACCAACCGTCCCCAGAAGTGTCAGCGGCTGATCGTCTCTATCGCGCGGCGGCCGCGGTCTCCCTCCCCCCCGCCTGCACAGACTGCGGTGCCGGCATCGGCCGAGTGACGGACACCTTCCTGCTCAAAAAGTTTGAGAAGGTGGACCTCGTCGAGCAGAACTCGGCGTTCCTCGAGACGGCCAAGACCGCCTTTACGGAGCGCGGGCAGGCGCACCGCATCGGCGAGTATTATGCGGTGGGGCTGCAGGACTTTGTACCCGAGGTGCGTGCCCCACGGCCTGCCATGGTCACTCTAGTGGTCTTGACTGCTCGATGGGCTGATGCGCCGTGCCAATATCCCGACCGCAGGAGGGGAAGTACGACCTGATCTGGTGCCAGTGGGTGCTCGGCCACCTCACAGACGGTAAGCAGCGGCACCGAGAGCACGACGATGGTGAGATCCCGCTCGCTGACGCGAGACCTCGGCCCAGACGACTTTGTTGCCTTTTTCAAGCGGTGCAAGCTCGGCCTGAAGCCCGGAGGCTTCATAGGCGTCAAGGAGAACCTCACCAAGAACGGCATTATTGTTGACGAGGAGGACAGCAGCTGTACACGCGACGAGCGCACACTCAAGCGCCTCCTCGCGCAGGCAGGCCTCACGATCGTCAAGGAGAGCCTGCAAAAGGGATTTCCCAAGGAGCTGTATGCCGTCAAAATGCATGTTGGTGCTTGTGTGCCGGTCAGAACGCCGTGCGAGCGGCATCTGACCGCCAGCTCGCTTGCCCCCGCCTGTCGTGCAAACCGCGCTGTTCTAACTCGCGTTTCATTCGTGCACAGGTTCCTCCTCAGATGAACTTGACGCCTGCGTTTCCGTCGCTGCTGTTGAAGATCTGCGCCTTGCCCTGCTTGACCAGAACGTCGAGCGCGCGCATCAAGAGCGGCTCGGGGAGCTCGTGGAAAGCTGTCGATGTTATCCCCCCCCCGCGATCATCGCGGATGTGCCGCGCAGTTCGGGGGTCATGCAGCAGTCAGCAGCGATCTTGCTGGACGCCGCACAGCAGCCGCCACCCACACTCGTCGGCAGACTCGTCGCCGTGGATGATCTCGAACGTCGTGCACACGGTGTTGGTCCTGCCCGTATCGAAGATCTGCAGCCGTTTGGATGGCAATCCGGCCGTCAGCTTCCTTTTGTTCTGCGTGCGTCCGACGCAGGTTGAGCGGGCCTGTCCGCCCGCACCCATTTGTAAATGAGGCTCGCCCACTCGTCGGGCTTGCGCCAGAACACCCAGCAACGGGTGCGGTCCTTGTTCTCCCACTCGCCGCACTTGAGCGCCGAGACGAGATGCTCGAGCACCAGCACCACCGTCTCGCGCGGGAGCGAGCCTGCATGCGCCGGCATCCGCAGAGGCAGCAGCAGCAGCAGCAGCGGCGTCCGCGGGGGGACAAGGCGGGCGGCACCGGACGGCCTCTGTCAGCGCTCGGCGACATCCCCGGCAGCCCCGCCCCTCGAGGCACCAACAGCAGCAGCCAAACCCACGCCGGATGGCCGGGTTGTGGAACGGCGCCGCCTTGCCCACAACCTCGTCCGCGTCGATGATGAACACACGGTGGTGCTGCGAGTGCGCCAGCACCAGCTCGCACCACAGCTGCCGCTGCTTGTTCCACGTGTCCGCCGTCGGCTGCTGGCTGCGTCGGCGAGAATGGGTCACCCGTTCTTGCGAGGTGGCATGGCCGCCCGCGCCTCGCCCGCCGGTGCGCTGCTGGCGGCAGGCAGCACGCAGGACCGAGGCACAAGACGCCCTCTGCGCCTCGCCGCCTGGTCGCCCCACCCTCACGCCCCGTCCTTACGTGAAGAACGGCGGGAAGCTGTGTATGGCTGGGCACTCGAAGGCCGATGTCGCCATGATTTCGGGGAAAGTCGTGACTGGCAGTCAAGGAACCAGGTCGTGCCCCTCGGCACTGTATCTCAGGTCGAGGAATTATCGATTCTAAGTGATATATTGCTGCATTTCAGGCTCTATCGGCTAAACAAGGCGTGCCAACAGCGTAAAAACGTCTCGATTTGACTGAAAATTAGCCCAAGGTATATATTGCGGCAGGATTTTCGAAAATTCGCGTGTGCGGGGTGTTGGCGCAATTGGTAGCGCTTTCGACTCCAGATCGAAGGGTTGCGTGTTCAAGTCACGTACGCCTCAAGCACGCATTTTGTCCGTGAGCGACCCCAAGTCGGCCATCCGATCGACTTGCTCCTCGCCTCGCCCGCCGCTCTCACCGACACCGTCAACGCCATCGCCGCCTGGGCCGCCCGCTGGGAGATGTCCTTCGGCGTC